CACACTGGAGCACTATTAGCATTGTAATTATCATCTGACTCCCTAGGGGTTTGGTAAATAGCTACTGGGCAAACTGGGTCCCTGGGTGCAGAATAATGATGATGATGATGGTGAAGAAGAGAAGGGGAGGAAAGACCAGGGGGAAAGGAGGAGAGCTAACCTCAGTCACTTTCTTATCTCACCTCACACAGCAACTCCATGTGGCAGTGGGCAGTGGACAGTGGACAGTCTGAGGCCAGGGCAGGTGAGGAACTTGCCTCTGGTCACCTCTGTGAGTGGCAGGAGCACTCACCAATCCAGATGTAAAGGGGGCAAAGGTGCTAGGGGGCAAGAAAGAGACTGAGAGGGCAGATGGCGGAGTCCAGAGGCTTGCTGGGGCCAGATCTGTAGCATGGTGAGGCCCTTCAAAACTCAACCTCACATCTGGCCTAATCCAGGTGTGATATTCTGGATCATGGGAACATGATGAGGGGGTTCCTGTGGGTTCCGGAGCAGCCGGGGGAGGGGGAGGCCATGGCACAGGGCTTGGGACAGGGGCAATCTACCAGTGGGCACAGACAGATTTCCACCTTCAAGCAACCAGTATGCATATTATTGTATACCAGCAAACTATAGTGCAGATACAGAGCATGAGGGTTTTGTGGTTTAGGAGATTTAAATCTTTAAAAAGCCCTTTGGCATCCTCTTCAACCCGTCTTTAATGAGGTCCCAGGTGTCTCAGCTGGGCCACCAGCACAAGCACATCTAACTGCATCCGGAGGACGTGGCTCCCCATCCCTGCACCGGAAGGCCATCCTGGGGCTCTGTTTGGAAGCTGAGGCCAATAATTGTTGCATATGAAGAACCTGGCAAGTCGAGTGGTAGGGGGCGAGGAGATGCCTAAAACATCATCCAAATGTATTTCAAACTTCACCTTGGAGCTGGGACAAACACTCAGCGTGTAACCAAGAAAAGCAGCTCATTGCTTGTGTTGCAAGTTTTCAGTCTGCTAAGCAATGTCACAGTTTGGGCAACTTCTGAGAAAATGTCTTCGACCATGGAGGGGAGCGAAGAGGGAGAGCGACAGGGAAGAGGAAGGAGGGAGAGAGGGAAGAGGAAGGAGGGAGGAGGGAGCAGGGAGGCAGGAGGAGGGAGGAAGCCCAAAGGGAGGTCAGAGGATTTCGACAGAGCTGGGTGCCTCAGGAGGATACAGTGAAACAAATCACGAGTTTGCTGCTTCAGAGATGTTAACCAAACTCCGGAAGAAAAATTCGCAAAGGAAAGTGTGGGCTGCTATAGCTTGTTTAGGCAATGCCCTGGCAATCAATGTGCACAGACGGAAGGGACTCAGCACAAGGAAAGGGGCCAATGCCAGTGCTACGTCAGGCAAACGGGTGAAGGGCCTGGTTTGAATTTAAGCCAAACATCAACCCATCCGTCAATAGTTATAGGGTAACAGTAAAAACTGAGCTCTTCAGATGTAAACCCACCTAAAAGCTGAAGGTTTGCACTGCAAAGACCCCAGTTATGGACACAGCATTTACAGTAGTAACAGGCAACACTCACTCCTCACCATGCACAGCTCCTGTCCTGACAGTATTCTGGATGCCATCACGTGCAAGGTGCCAACCCTAGGACCATGTGTTTTGTTTGTTTGTTTGTTTGTTTGTTTTTCCTCCAACCAGAGTTATTGAACATAATAGGATTCTATATACAGTCACGTGGACCTGCTGCTGCAAAACAAGATCCTTACTAATATTTTGATGTCAGGCCATAGAGTGTCCACAAGCAACTTATCCTAAAATTAATACAAATCTGCCCAAAGCACATCCAGTGAATATCGTCACACTGAAGCTTGAACAGTGCGTGAGATAATTCACCAACAGGCCTGAGTCCCTGTGACAGGCTGCTGGAGAACTGCTGGGAGACGTCAGGGGTCCATTCTGTGTGCGGCCACTGTGATACCGTCATGTTTCTGGGTCATAACGTTCCCATTATCTGACACACCACAGGAGTAGCAGTGGGGTCTGAGGTTAGCTTAGGCGCTTGCTGGGCCAGAACAGATATCACCCAACATGCTCATCTGACAGGGTGAGTCCTTGGGAACCTGCTCAGATTCCAGCAATGGATGGATTCTTCATTGTGTCTGTCCTCCAAAGTCGCCTCCATCCCGCCGGCCATCCACCCCGACCCAGGGCCCCACTGCACGCCCCCTGTCCCATGTTACAACGAAGGAACCAAGGAGACCACACAGTGGGACATGGCCAGTCAAGGTGTGACTCAGACAGCCGGGTTCCAGAACCCAGCATGTCCTTCCATTTATGTGCCCTTTTGCTCATAATGTCAAATCACCAACATTTACTGGGCACTTACTAAGTTCCAGACACTGTCCTCAGTGGTTTACAGGTGGTTCACTCATTCAATTCCCATCGTTATGAGATACTATTCTCATCCTTTATTTATTTGTTTACTTATTTTGACAAATGGGAAAACGAAGGCACTAAGAAGAGAGGTAAATTCCCACGATCTCACATTTAGTACCCGGTGGAGCCAGAGTTCAAAACTCATAGCCTGGTTCCGGGATTCATGTTCCTGACCAGCCAGGGACAGCCTAAGGAACACACACTTCAGGGTTGAGGGAAAGCAGTCATTGAGATCTGAAAGCGTTCGAGAATTCTGCTGCCTGAAATCCGATCCAGACCATGAGTGGAGCAAACTTCCACCTGGCTTTGGGGATCCCATCTGAGCTGGGCCCAATGTATCAGATGTGGCTTTGCCCTGGGTACCACGCTCTTGGCACAGGTGGGATGGTGCTCCACCCAGGTCAGGCCATTTCCTTTGTTGTCTCAACAAGACAGCATCTCTGTTTAGTTTACCCAGCACGTGGATCTGCCCTGGCCAGCACCTCAGGTGATGAGCACTCCAGCCCTCACCAGAGAGCCATAGACCAGGCCGGCGGCCAGCAGCTCCACCCCCAGCCCCTCTGGAGGAAGCATGATGACAGAGGACGTGCTTGTTCTACGACCAATCCTTGCATTTAGATGACCTGCTGGAGAGCGAAGTACCTGGGCAGTGTTGTCCTGGTCGCTGGCAGAACTTATTTCCTTGAGTTGCATTTAGATACTGTGCTGTGAACATTTATCAAAAATCCTTGGTGACGCAGTCAAATGAAACTCTTGCAGCATCTGCAGTGGGAAACATTGAGGGGATATGGTCCAGTCCCCACAGGAAAAACCATATAAAAAACTTTTTTTACGCTGAGAAAAGCTTTATTTACTTGAGGAACTACTATGTCTTGTCGTTTTTGAGGATAAAAAATTATGTCCTAATGGTCCATCTCTCTCTCTCTTTCATTCTCTCTCTCTCTCTCTCTCTCTCTCTCTCTCACACACACACACACACACACACACACACACACATATTCTCATTTGTTAAAGCTGCTAGGAAGCTCAAAAACAATCTGGGCATTTGTAGCCTGTACCAGGGTCCTAAAACTTGGTTTATCTCATCATCTCCATAGGGAACAATTTAAGAACAACCATCTAATAAATGTTTATTTATCTAACTATTTATTTATAAATTATATGCATGTACCCGATTACATATTATTACCTGATATTTTAAAGCATAGTATACACAGAGGCCAAGTTCATTGCTAATGACTGAGGATATAAATCCATATTTCAAAGAGCCTTCTTAATCAATTAAAAACTGTTTTAGCTTCTCTCAGCCCTGACTAGCCTGAACTGTCATTACGTTTGCGTTTAATGAAGTACCTGGGTGGACGAGGAGCTCATCAAGGAGCACAAGAAGCGCCAGCTTTGCCAAGTTCTTCTTCCCTTGGAGATAAGACTAGAATGACGAGCAGAAGCAGCAGTTTCTTTGCAGGACTATTTTGACGCTCCTGTCCTCCTTCTGTGAGGCCGTACTTACCTGGATGATATAAAGCAGGAATCCATGCAACTGGACACACGTAGGAAGCAAGATGTCACAGCCTGCCGAGAGCAACCGAGCCACCGAGCCACCGTGGCCTCAGGGCTCCTGCTGGAAGTGGGGGAGGGAGGGCAGCAAAGGGAAGAAAAAGTGACAAGTGCATGATAAATGGCTCTAAATCCTAATGCCTCTCATTTTAGGATGAAAACCGTTTCTAACTAAACATCCTAATGTGTTTTCTCCTCACACCACACTGGTCTCATGTCTACTCACCCGTTTGGACCTGCCTTTCTATACCCCTGTCCATTTCTACCTTGTCCTGCCCCTGACCTCCCCCTCACTCTATTCCTTGGCCTCCCTCTGTTGTCAATCACACTACATTATTTGGGGGCCGTGTTCTCATTAAATCCTTTAGGGAATACCTGCCTACATCTGTGAACAGAACATACACAAACCTGAACAACTCCTTCTCAATGTGCATTTGGTTATTTTAGCTAATCGTACGTATAGGAATCTATGAGTTCGGGGTTATTCCATGGACCCATCTCTCCAAACATTTCAAGATCATGTTTAGAGGAATAAACATGAGCTGGCAATGATTATGGACTGAGACTGCGATATTTAGACTTTAAGAAGATGTTACGTATCTACCAAATCAGGATAGCTTTGGTGCAGAAAACAGTGACTTTAACACACAGAATTTTATTCTGTTGTTTTAAAAGAAGTCTAGAGGCAGGTTCCTCAGGGTTAGGTTGGCATCTCCAAGAAATTATCTGGGATTCAGCCAGCTTCAGGTACTTCTAGGACATGGTCTGCACCCCTGGGTATAAGATGGCAGCTGGAGCTCCAGCCATCATGTCCAATTCCCAGGCTGGCAGCGAGAGAAAGGAGGGGACAGGCGTGCCTCATAACTACACACGGCAAGAGGCGCCATATCACTTCCCTACATTGCCATACCAGGCTACCGGGAGACAGCCTGAGGGTGGGTGGGAAACAGGCATTACACATTGGGAGAATGGATGTGGGGATAACAACAAGCAGTTTCTGCCACATCTGCTTTTCCATCAGCAAAGTACAGGCCCCAGTATTAGAACTGCATCCAGTAGAATTCAAATTCTAGACCATCAACTTACAACTGATTCTGACCTCTTCCCTCCCACCCTTCTCCCCTCCTTATTCCAGACCCAATATCTGTTACCACCCCAGAGTATCTGCACTAATAAAAGAGAAAGATGCAAATTAACCATCACTCTGTCACTCCGCCACTCACTACACCCACAAGCCATGCCCACCAGCCAATCAGGAGTGAGTATGCAAATTAACCCAACTAAGATGGCAGTGGCCACAGAGCTGGAGCAAGCAGGAGACTTGGGTTGCCCCTGGTGTTGGAGGAAGCCAAGCTTCCTGCCTGCCCTGGCCGGCCCTGGGCTCCTCTCAAGGCTACAAAGTTTCAATTATAGAAGGTAAATAAATCCCAGAATCAAAAAAAGAAAAAAAGAGAGGCTGGGAGCTTCTGTTGCCAGGGGGGCGCATATTACCCTTTTATTATATAGGATTATTTTATCTATCCTATATAATAAAACCCTAATATGCAAATCGACCGTAACAGCAGAATGACCAGTCACTATGATGCACATTGAGCACTTCAGGGGGCAGATGCTCAATGCAGGAGCTGCCCCCTGGTGGTCAGTGCTCTCTTACAGGGGGGGGGGCATTCAGCCAATAGCCAGGCTCTCAGCTGGCAAGCACAACAGTGGTGGCGGGAGCCTCTCCTGCCTCCTCAGCAGCGCTAAGGATGTCCGACTACAGCTTAGACCTGCTCCCTGCTGGCAAGTGGACATCCCCCGAGGGGTCCCAGACTGCGAGAGGGCACAGGCTGGGCTGAGGGACTCCCCTGAGTGCACAAATTTTTGTGCACTGGGCCTCTAGTTTAAAATAAGAATCATTCCAGAAATACATTGTACAAGCCCTGAAAATGTCTCTGGAAATGCAGTTAATGCAGACACTCCCAAAGACCTTTTCTGTCTCATAGAAACCAGACTAGGTATCTTCAGAAGACCTTTGAAAATACATCAGAGTTTGCAAACCTGATCCTCCTTCAAATACATTAAGTTAGCTATTTCATGAAACCTGCAGTGAAGTTAGCCATTTAATGAAACCCATCTTATATGTGAATAATCACACTCTAACACATCTGTATCTGACTTTGAAATGTCCACTGATCAGACTTTCTAAGTTGGTGCAATCTCACCGATGACTAAAAGAAAGCCTCTGAAACAAACCCAAAATACAAATGTCGTAATGGGCCAGCATTTCCCTTTTGAAGCCTCATCTCAGCAACTGCCCTGCGTCTCAGTGGGGAGATCCCACTGGGGAGATGATCATGGGGTTTTTGCTTCTTTCCCATTAACTGACTTCAACAGCTGGAGATGTGGGCAGATGCTGAGTGACAGTCTTCTGCTGCTGAACATGAGTCAGGGAGAGCATTCATTGTGCAACACACACATTTCTCATCTTTCAGATGCCAAATGTTCAAAGCATAAAAGACCTCAGCTGGTCACTCACCAGGGTAGGCTTGGCAGCGTTCCATCCATGAGCTCACACCACAGCAGTGACATCACACGCCAGCCAGGAGGGCCTGTGCAGTTCATAGCCAATCAACCAGGAAGCTGAAGAGACAGCTTCTCCTTTGCTGAGCCGCACCTCCCTCACCAAGCCTGCACTGCTTGCTTGCCCGAGTTTACAGGGGCAGCCTCTGAATCTGGAGAGTCCTACGGAGCTGCACGGTACAACAGGACGGGGACAGGGGTGGAATCTGTGTACCTTATAAGTGAGGAAACCGCCATAAGAGCAAGGGCTGTGGTATCCAGAGAGCTGACACTCACCCACCGACATTTACCCCCAACCCAGAAGGAGCAAAGGAAATCTCTTCCTCTGTTTTCTATTTTTCTCCCTCTGAGTTGTTAGGGAAAGGGGAACATTATAAAATCAGGAGCCTACCTGTCCCCTGAGACATTTACATTTAAGCTGGACCACGCATTACCCATGTATCACAGGCAACAATTTCACCCTGGCAGGGAAGTGGACTAAGTGACTTAATGGGTATTTTCCATCTCTAATTTCCATGATTAAAAGAAAGAGGTTGAGAGGGGTACATGTGGAGCCTATTGTGAGTTTGCCAATGAATCCTAATTTAGATCAAAGAGAGTCTATGTGACACTGAACCATAAACACCCTAGTGTGCGTTACTTCAAGGAAGTTGTTAGTGTGTCCCCGATGGCTATTATGTGATATAGTTGCGCTCTAGAGCCTGCATCCTTTAATTACTAATATGGAAGAAAATCCCATATAAGAGGGAGGAATGTAAATGAGACCTCTGCTCTTTTGAACATTTTATGCATTCGCCAAATTAAAATTTGCTGTGGACTTTGGGTTTTCCTGATCTCTGTTGGTAGTGATCACTTGGCTCGTGGGATTAAATCTGACTTTCCAAAAACCATTTCCGATCCGTGTGCGGGTTTCAGATCTTTATGTATGCTTTGCACTGAGACTGGGATCATCAGAACCAGATTGGGAACATTTTCTTTGAAGTTTTCAAAGGTAGGGAAGAAATCCTCTTTCATTCTCATCTTTCCTCATGCCGAGCATTGTTCAGGGCAAGCTGAGGGGGCTGCATGGGAGAGGGGCCCATGGAGACCAAGGCACAGCATCATACCACATGTATGCACTACCTCTGGCACATGCATGTAGCTTCTGTGCAGAGAGGACCGTGTTCCAGGGGCACGGGTCTGGATCAGGGAGCATGACCACACTCACTGATGTGGAGCTAGTCCACACTGGGTTTTAAAACACAATTTCAGGATGAGGACAACCACAAATGTCAACTTGAACAGCACGATTTTCCTGGTATTTCCTTCTCTGGGATCCTTCTGCCCTCAGCTCATGTGTACAAAAACAGGATTGATAACAACTTCGCACTTAAATTGAGAGCTGAGTGTAGGACCAGGCCTTGCACAAAAGTAAAGATACTTACTAGACAGAATGATTACTGAAGGTATTAACCATTCAGGGAGATCGGCCGTGCCCGAGACTGCATCTTATTCAATAAAGCAAACTCCTTCTTTGCCATCTGTCTCATACTACAAAGAGATAATAATAATAAAATCATTGCTTAATGAGTAAACTAAGTAGAGGATAATTCCCTGGTAGATCATATTGATGTTCTTCTCCAAAGGATGCCATATTCTCAATGAGGCAGAGAACACAGGGGAGAGTGCGTGATCATGCACAAATGGGAATGCCTAAAATCAAAAACCAATGCAGCATATGTCAGTATTTAAATCCCCATCAAAGAAACATCCAACTTTTCAGCTGTAACCCAAATATAAATTTTCCTTACCCTGTCAATTAGTAGATTACAAAACTTCTGTAGCAGGAAGATCATTCTGCCAGCAAAGCCGGAGCGTTTGGAATGGGTCCAGGTCAGACAGATGGTGTGGAAAAGGGGTGCAATGAGACGTTCCCTACGGGCAGAGTCAACTGTTCTTCGTACAGCAAACGCAACCTTTGAAGGGCGGGGCCCCAAGGTGAAGCGTGTCTCCCGCACGGCTGGAGAAGCAGGCACACGTCTAGGATCACCGAAGCAGCCAGTGACAAGCACAAGGGTGGGCTGGCGTAAGGGAGGCATTTAGAGAAGGAAAATATGCAAAACATTAAATAATTGGAAACCCTGTTCCTTGGCACCTAAAAAGTGCCCCCCATGACCTAAGCCAATGGGCATGAAGAGAGAAACCATATCTCCTCCGAGCAAGACATGATTGCTAATGAGTATCACAGGAATGCTGGCTAGACTATCAACAGCAAATGATGTAACCACGCGGGAAGACAGAGGATGTGTGCTATACTATTATTAAATGCCACCTGTACGTGTCGGTTTATTTGCAAAGCTGGCTCACTTACAAACAGCACCCACCGAGCTGCACAGAAAAGCCTGATCCAGTAGTCGGTAATTAATGAAGTTATCACGTACAGAAATAATCACAGCCCACTGGATTTTAAAAGCGGCTTTTAAAGCGTAAACACTGAGGTGGGCAAAGGGGGTGGGGAATGGGGACATCTGTAATATTGTAAACAATAGATATAAAGTTTAAAATAATAAAGAAAAGGTAAACACTAATTGATGACTTTTAAAAAAATTTTTTAAAGAATTTAAATGCCCTTTCACTAAGATCATAAGAGCAAATCTATTCCATTAGCAAATATTTTTAGGTAAAAGTGTCTTTGTTGTTGTTTCTTTAAGTTAATAGTAACCAGCCACCTGGTGTAAGCACCAACAATGTACCTCATACTTTACATGTACCAGCGTACTTAATCCTCCATATCCCTGAAAGATGGAATTGCTCTCATCACTTTAGAGGTAAGAAATTAAAGATCCAAGAAAAGCCCCAGCAGAGTGGCTCAGCTGGTTGGTGCATCATCCCATACACCAAAAGTTTGCGGGTTCCATCCCTGGTCAGGGCATGTGCAAGAGGCAACGGATCAATGTTTCTCTATCACATTCTCTCTCTAAAAATCAATTTAAAAAGCAAAATGTCCTCAAGTGAGGATAAAAAATTTAAAAAAGATCCAAGAAAGGAACCTGGCCAATTCTGGGAGTAACTCACAGCACTGATGTTCCAATCCCTGGGGTCTGACTGGAGAGCCTGTTTTCTCTCCACTCCATTGCACTGATCCCCCAGAGGGAGTGGGCTCGTCGCAAGTTCCAAGTCAAACTTTGTCCTCAAATGGAGAAGTACCACCTGATGACACACAGACGAATTGTCCCAATGCCAAAGAGCCCGTGGATTTATGTCCTAGTTCCTATTTTAGCTAGTTCCAGGCTCATGGAGTGTGATTGTGTACCATGTAGTGACTTGTGCCCTATTGTGAGTTGGAATTGTGGCTTTTTTGCAGTTCTTTATATAATACAAATATATATAATATAATCAATATAAGATATATATCTATATATATATATAGGATATATATATCTATATATATATGATATATATATCTCTCTATATATATAAAAGGGTCGGGTCTTTTTTTTTCAATATTTTTATTCACTTCAAATGGGCCGGATCCGGCCGCGGGCCGTAGTTTGCCCACGGCTGCAATAAGGGCTTGAGCTATTGAATTTGACCCATCAAAGGGGATAGGTTTAACATGGATTTGAAAAGTTAGCCCAGGCTTATTTTCCCTGAGTTTTTCTCAACAGTTGTTGCATCTGCTAATAGTATCTATTCTTTTAAAAATTATTTTATTGATTTATTTCAGAGAGGAAGGGAGAGGAAGAGAGATAGAAACATGAATAATGAGAGAAAATCATTGATTGGCTGCCTCCTGCACACCCCCTACTGGGGATTGAGCCCACAACCCAGGCATGTGCCCTGACTGGGACTCGAACTGTGACCTCTTGGCTCATAGGTCAATGTTCAACCACTGAGCCACGCTGGCCAGGCTTTAGGCAGTTCATGTAGTTCCTGCATGACCAAGAAATGCTTTCCACCTGATGCCTGTCTTCTGCCAGGTGAGAGCTATGCAACACAGATGGTGGTCGTGGCACTTTTGATCTTCACGATGCCCTTCCTCCACGGAATTCTTTTCCTTCTGTACTTTTGGCCACGCGCTCACAAAAGCGGGAGGTGGGGTGTGCTATGTTGAAACAGCGTAGAGAGGAGGACACTGAGGCTATTATCTTGATGATGCTGGACTAAATTCTTTTCAGCTGCTCTAGCAAAAATGGACTTTGCCTTCATGTAGAGACTGGCTTTTCTTTGACACGATCTTGATGGAACAAAATAGGAGAGAACTCACATGTCACCCTCTGTCTACAATGGCCCCTATTAAAGAGAATATAGACCTGGCCACACATTTGATGCTGTAGATATTTCAGAGCCCAAGCACAGTTGACCTACCGCGCCTGCAGTGAAATTTTATGACTAGCACCACTGTTTTCACTTCTGTACAACCCAAAGGAAAGATGATCTAATGATTAAACCAACAATGAACTTGGTCATCAGTTTAAACGCTTCAATCCTGGCCCCTGCCCTATATTTAAGCCCTGTGAAGAGAAGAAGGGGAAAAGTACAAAGCCTCACAGAAGTAACAATTGCCTATTTTAATGTTGGCAACGTATAAGTGACAATTATGTTGTTAATTGATAGCTCTTTCCATGAGTTGTCATCCATGTAGATTGTCCAGATTAGCAATGTTGCTTTTGCATTGTGATTAAAGCACCGAGTAGCTGCATAAAAACTGTTGTGGTCTATGGTCGGTGCGTTCTAACTACTCAGAGGCGAGAAGGGACAAGCCCCTTTAAAGATAAATGACTTTTAAAAGAGGCTAGGAGATGCAAAGTCTTGTTAAAATGTGATTTTTAGCAGAATGCTAGATGAATGAAATGCCATGTTTAAATGAAGAAGTTTCTTTCTGTGTAAGCGAAGTATTAATTAGATAGAAGGCTGTAAAAGAGGGAGAGATAGTTAGAATGGTTACTAAGCAAACCAAGGGAAATAGTAGCCCTGCGTAGAATGAGGCTAACAGAGCCCATGTTTGTCCCTGGTTCATTCTCTCTCTCTCCCCCTCTCTCAGGTCTCTAAGCGCCTGCACTGAGCTCTCTCTCTCTCTTTCTCGAGCTCTCTCTCTCTCTCTCTCTCTCTCTCTCATTCAGAGCTGGTTTCTTTTTAGGGTGTGAGTCAGACCAAGTACAACCTCAAAGAAGTCTGTCCTGAAAAATTTCGAATAAATTCACAGCCCAAGACTAAATAGTAATTGTTAATGCTACATCTAAAAATAACCTCTATCTCTTACTTAAGTTTTCTGTGGCTTTCCAATCTTGCAAGAACAGATTGAATTTCGAAGTTTTTCTGCTGTAGAGAAGCTTTAAGCTGTAGCCATTTGATTAGTATCATAAAAAGTGATCTCAAATCTGTGGGCAGCAGCTCAAGGCCCAATGGGCCCCTCCAATCTCAAGGGGGAGTTCTGGCCACAAGGTAGCAGCTGCCCAAATCTCGGGTGGACTGACCTGCTGAAACTAAACAGAGTTTAGAAGCCATATCATCGTTTCTGCATGAATTTGGACAAAAAGCATTCAAGTTACCAAGCTTCTCTTTATTTCCTCTTAAATTAGGTCAAGCCTGGGAATAATTCTTGTTAAATGGGAACAATGTTCCTTTTCCTATCAACTCTACGTACACTTTTAAAAATTCACCTTTTTGTGGTCATCCCAATCGATGCCTCTCAATTATGGGCACTACTGCTCCACTGGCTGGCACAGGTGGGCTTGAGTAGGTTTAACATGCCCAGAATTATTTTCCTTTGGAAAACCATCCCTTGTATACACTATTCCCCGTGGGTTGAGTAGGACAGTCACCGCCTCCCAGGCTCAGGGGTGGGCACGTTTCTTGGGCATGACCAGCCAAGTTGTTCCATTCCTCTGGTCACAGTAAATGGATCAAGGGTGACCACTGAACCCAATCATTCCAGTAAGAACCCATCTTGGAACTTTTCCTGGAACTCCCAGGAAATTTAAAGAAGCATCTTCTTTAAGAGTTATTAGGAGAGCCCTAACCGGTTTGGCTCGGTGGATAGAGCGTCGGCCTGCGGACTCCATGGTCCCAGGTTCGATTCCGGTCAAGGGCATGTACCTTGGTTGCGGGCACATCCCCAGTAGGGGGTGTGCAGGAGGCAGCTAATTAGTGTTTCTCATCGATGTTTCCAACTCTCTATCCCTCTCCCTTCCTCTCTGTAAAAAGTCAATAAAATATTTTTTTTTAAAGAGTTATTAGGAGAATGTAAACACAAAGATGCTGGGGCCACCACATGGAGAGAACCTGACTGAGAGAGGCTTGCAAAAAGCAACGTAAAGTCAAAATAGAAGGGGTGGTCCTACAGGGCAAGAGAGGCACAAAGGGGAGGAGACCAGGGCCTGATTACATCATAAGAGCTTCTGGATCAAGCTATGACTGAGAAGGAACTCCAGGACTTTGGGGCTTTCGGGACAAGAGTGCAAATAATTTTACTATACCTAACCCTAAATTTTAATAAGTAGAGCAAATTCACAGGCCATTGAGTAAAAAGGAAAAAGGTGTAGCAAGAAAAGCAAATACAGTTTGCATTCTACAAAATGTTAGAATGGTATCATTAGTATTTAAAAACAAAGCCTTGAAATGTTTGTAAGGATGCTTCTCCAATTTGCTCAACACTTCTGAAGACCACTTTGGGTTATCAACTGAATTCACGCCTTGTATAAGGATATTACCTACCTAAATAGTGTTCCTGAGACATGCAAGAAAACTCAGCCTAAAACATCTTTCTATTGGCCATGCCACAGGACATGAAGCTCACAGCATCCATCTCTTTGGGTTAAGGTCTTGAAAGTCTCTACTAAAATGTACATGCTGTTGCCCAAACTATAAATATTCACCGAGGTTCTATTGAAAAAGTGGTATATTATCAACCATTAGCAACTTAGCACCAATTTATTAACCAGATTAATTCCTGCTCCCTGGGAGGGTTTTGGAGAAATGGAACAAGTCATTTCGAATGAAAGACAGGAGGAAGAAGCTGCAGTCTAAGAAGAGAGACCCGGATACTGTGCTGACTTTGGCGGTCCAGCTCAAAGGTACCAGGTAGAGAGAAGTAAGAGGAGCAGAAAGCAAAGAAGAATGCCACTATACCAAGAAGAAATCTACCCAGCATTCCTGTCTGCAGCCACCATTTGCAGTAACAGTGTCAGCATAGTTTAAGGCGCACATCAGGGCAGGGCACCGTGCATGGCTCTGCAGACTGTTCCTGCACAAGGGCAGAAGCTCCCCTTGCCAAGCCCTGCATCCTGGAGGGGGCTGCCTCTGCCCAGGATGATGCTTTTCTCTAATTATTACAAAGGTGTGGCAGTACCAGCCCTGTGTCAAAATGATTTCCAAACCTGTTTCACCTATGGAGGGACGAGAGCATGTTGATACTTCTACTTTGGGGAATGTGACAAGGGACCTCATTGCCTTCCACCCCAACTGTGCACCCAGGCCACTGGCACCCCAGTCACCGTCCTGACACTTAGGCTTGTTTTGGAGGAGGCAGGAGGCGGAGGACAGGAGGCTGTGGCTCAGAAAAGAAATTAGCATTAGTTGTCAATTATTTTTAATGACAGAGCTACTGGAGCAAAGTCTCTACTGGAAATTGTGTGGACTGATCTGTTGTTCAGGTGGTTAGAGGCGAGGGCAATGGAGGAAGCTTCATTCTACCAGAATCCTCGTCAACAAAAATCCAAAATAAAACATCTTTATCCTATTTCTGGCTACATTATTTACTGCAAAAAAAAAAAAAAATACTAGAGTCAACGTTAGGGAAGTCGCTGTGCTCTGTGAGTTATTTCTCCCCACTGCTTTCCGAACGGTGTCACTTTGCAGGACGGCATCTAACATATTTTGACAAGAGAAAGTGACAAATCGGGACATTCTCTCATTAGAGCAGTAGAGAGAGGCTCAGAGAAAATCCCATCTGGCCTTAGAGCAGTGGTTCTCAACCTCCTTTGGGGGTCAAACGACCCTTTCAACAGGGGTTGCCTAAGACCATCAGAAAACACATATATAATTACATATTGTTTTTGTGATTAATCACTATGCTTTAATTATGTTCAATTTGTAACAATGAAATTGGGGGTCACCACAACATGAGGAACTGTATTAAAGGGTCGCGGCATTAGGAAGGTTGAGAACCACTGCCTTAGAGTGTCTTACCTGACGAAGATAGTGAGCTAATGCTCACTTGGGTTTCGCCCAAACTCTCTTCTGCAGCTTCCTCTCTGGCCACTGGTTGAAGCTGAGGCTCACTTTGGACCCATGAGCTGCCAAGAGTGCTTCCCCCTCCACAGAGCACCACACACCCTCAGTGAGCCCAGATGAGAGTGCAAATTCCACGCGTAACAGGAGCGTAGGAGATTGTCAGCAGCATTTATTTCATGGGTTGTTCTTGCAGTATTCCCAGCCAGTGACCTAACACAGGTGCCGAATATAGAGGGGGCAGCCACCTAGGAGCTTTTAATTTGAGGCACCATCTGCCGCCCAGCTTTCCCTCCCAGTAGTCTGCTTCCGCCGAAAATATTTGCATAGGGTTAAGCTATTGTGTCTCCAAATGGCCTGCTAAATGCAAGCAGCATAGTTGGGAAGGAGAGCACATTAGTAGCCCTTCCTCAGTCATGCAACAAATATTTAGTGACTGCCTGCTATACCTAATCAGGCCTCTGCTGTGCCAAACAGGGGTGATAGGAATAGATGTGTGGAGCCTCTTGTCTCAGACCTTTCTTATCTATTAATTCTTTCTCATCTACAGCTTTTGTCACTCCTGCAGGAAGCCTTCCATGAGCCCCATCTCTCCTGAAATGACCCTCTTCTATTCTCCCACTAGAGGCCCAGTGCACGAAATTTGTGCACGGGGGGGGGTGTCCCTCAGCTCAGCCTGTACCCTCTCCAATCTGGGACACCTCGGGGAATGTCCAACTGCCAGTTTACCCTCTCACAATCCAGAACTGCTGGCCCCCAACCGCTTGCCTGCCTGCCTGCCTGCCCGATTGCCCCTAACCGCTTCTGCCTGCCAGCCTGATCACCCCCTGACCACTCCCCTGCCAGCCTGATCGATGCCTAACTGCCCTCCCCTGCCGGCTTGATCGCCCTCAACTGCTCTCCTCTGCTGGCCCAGTCACCCCCAACTGCCCTCCCCTGCTGGCCCAGTCATCCACAACTGCCCTCCCCTGCTGGCCTGATTGCCCACAACTGCCCTCCCCTGCCAGCCATCTTGTGACAACATGGACATGGCCATCTTGTGACCACATGGGGGTGGCCATCTTATGCCCACATGGGGGTGGCCATCTTGTGTCGGGGTGTGGTGGTCAATTTGCATATTATCTCTTTATTACATAGGATGATGTTCTGTGGGTACCCCTGTCCATTCAACACTGAAAAGGAACTCCCCATTCCCAGAATCTCAAATAGGGGCAAAGGTCAGTTTACGTCTCAAGATCTCCTTTCGTTTTCATTTTTGTTGTAAAGGATTACATAAAAATAACTAAAAAAAAACCCATGTTTTCAAAACTACTCAAAAGGAGGAAAAAATTGACATTCATTGCACAAAGTCTCAAAAAAATCAAGTCTATATTGCTCATAATAGCAAATGTGGCTGTGGGTCATGAACCTGATCTAAATCACTGAAATCCATAAAAATAGTTACAACTTGTTCATAAAACACCTCTTGCGAGACTTTGCATAAGAAACTTTAGAAGGTAATGAAACATCAGATAATGGGGAGAGCTAATTAACTCTGGCCAAGGCGGGACAGGCTCCTCTTTAAATCTTAATTAGGCACAGTACCCCTCCACTCGCGCCTTCTTCACCCGAGTTTCCAATATTGATGAGCAGAGGACTAGGCCTGCTGCCACCTGACTTTGCCCAGATTTTATTGTTGAGTTTCACCATGCACCTTCTTATGTCTTCCTGCACATTTTGGGGTTACCCATTAGAATAATTTCGATAAATAGAGCTTATAATTGAGAATCAAGGTTCCCAAGTCCCATGTTCAAAATTTGAAATTAAAACCAGACCTATAAATCATAGCGAAAGATGTAAAATGAAACTAAAGAGGAGAGAAAGATTACCCAACTGGTTAAGAAAACCCTTTTATGTCTACTTTATCTCATAAAATATGGAGTCTTGGGGAAATTCATAGTATCTAGGATTCAGAAAGCCCTTTTTATTTTTTCTCCTCCTTGCATTTTTTTTTTTAAATGCTATGTTCTCAGGTTTCGCAGATCCATTAGCCATTTGGATTACCACGGTATTTAGTATCAGCTTGAGTTCTTGACAAAAGTAGAGGCAGTTTTCCAGCATGGAGAAACATTTGTTAAGTACAGACAAATACCATTTGCACATCTCCAAATGGGGCTAATTTTGAGATGATAAAATAAAATAAGATTACTGAGTATCTAGGCTTCATAATGACCCATTTGATTTCACAAAATAATTCAAAGGGAGGTGGGGAAATCCACCAATTACTAACTGTCAAAGACATATTAAGAAGCATCACGGCTAGTGAGAAGTTAGAGTGTTCATCTATGGAAACTTGGCTTCCTCTGGGTTTCCCCACCCAATCGTCTGCTCAATATTTACTCGGTTGACAGCACCCTTTAATGCCCAAAAACTGTTTCAATCATCTTGAAACAGGAAAAATAATTAGCATGTATTTGTAAAAAAGGTGTCTAGACATTGAAGCTGTAATTATATATCATAATACAGGATACAATTCAATGTCCTAAAAGGCAGCTTGCCTGAAAGCATGTAGGAGATGATTTGGGGATGAGTTCAGGGATGTAGCAATTTGGTAGTTGGAAAATAATTTAGGCAGCAAGCAATGTGGTCTACTTACCCAAACCACAGAGCAAGTGTAATTAAAAGGGGGAATGGAAAATATTGTGGGTTTGACTAAGAAAGTTGGGTAGGGACTTTTCTTACTGACTATATAGTCTTCTCTTGTTACAAATGTCAGCATAAAGAACTACACTGATGCAAAGAACATGAAACGATGGCAGATCAAATTTTACTCAAGACTTTCCAGTTAATATAGGAAGACAACCCCAGGGTCTTGAAGAAATAATTATGTCAGCATAACTAGGTCATATTTTACTATCGCAGATCACCAATGCAATAGTCAAGATGAGAGGGATCCGTTATTTTTCTTTTGTTAAGGTCAGATTCTCCAACAGGTGGTAGCTGAGGTGGGGGTGAAAGCATGAGAACCAAGAGGTCCCTGGCGCCAGGGGCTGGGACATGAGTTGGGAGAGCCACACAGCGAGCTGAGTATGCAGATGCGTAAAGCAGTCCTTTTCTTTGAGCTCAGACTCACTATTGCCATCAATTCACATATCTCTCTTGTGTGGGAATTGAGAATAAATCCTACTCAGTGGGCCCCATCTGCTCTACAAGGCACAGCAGGTCTTCCCAATAGTAGGTTTTGCTGGGTGGGCTGCTCCCCTCCTGGAGCAGTGAAAATGAAACAGAAGCACCCCACACGGAAGGACTAGAATGCAGGGTCCACTAAGTCATCAGGCACCGCAGGCACAGTACCTAGGTTCACAATAGGATTAGGGATCCATGAAAATGTTTTTAATTTCTCTTAAAATAAGCAGAATAATTAATCCAGCAATTACACTCCTAGGTTTATACCCAAGATATAAACAAGCATTCAAATAAATACTTGCACACAAACATTTATAGCAGCACTCTTGACAATATGCCCATTAATTGATAAATGTATAAACAAAATGTGGTATATCCATATAATGAAATATTATTCAGCCTTAAAAAGGAATGAAGTACTGCCCTGGCCAGGTGGCTCACTTGGCTGGAGCATCCTCCCATACACCAAAAGGTGTGGGTTTGATTCCCAATCTGGGTACATACCTGGGTTGAAGGTTTGTTCCTGATCAGGGTGTGTATGGAAGTCAACCAATCGATGTTTCTCTCTCTCTCTCTCTCTCTCTCCCTTTCTCTTTCTCTCTCTCTCTCTCTCTCCTGCCCCCTTCCTCACTCTCTTTTTAAAATAAAAATTAGCCGAAACCGGTTTGGCTCAGTGGATAGAGCGTCGGCCTGCAGACTGAAAGGTCCCAGGTTCGATTCCGGTCAAAGGCATGTACCTGGGTTGCGGGCACATCCCCCGTGGAAGATGTGCAGGAGGCAGCTGATTGATGTTTCTCTCTCATCGATGTTTCTAACTCTCTATCTCTCTCCCTTCCTCTCTGTAAAAAATCAATAAAATATATATTTTTTAAAATTTTAAAAAATCAATGAACAGCCCTGGCTAGTTTGGCTCAGTGAATAAGAGCACTACCCATGGACTGAAGGGTCATGGGTTCAATTCCAGTCAAGGGCATGTACCTCAATTGCAGGCTAGATCACTGGCCAGGGGAGGCAAGTACAGGAGGCAATCAATCAATGTGTGTCTCTCACATGAATATGTCTCTCTCTCTCTGTCTCTTCCCCTCCCTTCCACTCTTTCTAAAAATCACTGGAAAAAATATCCTCAGGTGAGGATTAACTAAAAATAAAAAAACCAATCAATAAACATATCCTCAGGTGAGGATTAAAAAAAAAAAGTTGTGTTTGTATTTTTTTAAAGGGAATGAAGCACTGATACATGCTACAGTGTGGATAAACCTCCAAGACTGAATGCTAAGTGAAAGAAACCACTTAGATGAAATGTCCAGAATAAGTAAACTTAGAGAGACAGAAAGTATATTGGTGGTTCTCAGCGGCTGGGAGGAGAGGGTGATGGAGAACAATTGCTTCATTGGTACAGGGTTTCCTTTTTGGGTAATGTTTTGTAACTAGATAGAGGTGGTTGCACAACATTTTGACTGTATTAATGCCACTGCATTACACATTTTAAAGGGGTCAATTTTATGTTATGTAAATTTTATCTTGATAGAAAAAAAAGAAAACAATGGCCCCAACCTGGATTATATTAATCTCTGTACAATACAGTCATAAAATATAATTTTTTTTTAAATATATTTTATTGATTTTTCACAGAGAGGAAGGGAGAGAGATAGAGAGTTAGAAACATCGATGAGAGAGAGACATCGATCAGCTGCCTCTTGCACACTCCCTACTGGGGATGTGTCCGCAGCCCAGGTACATGCCCGTGACCGGAATCGAACCTGGGCCCTTTCAGTCTGCAGGCCGACGCTCTATCCACTGAGCCAAACCGGTTTTGGCATAAAATATAATTTTTAAAAAATATTTTTTATTGACTTCAAGAGGGAGAGGGAGAGAGAGATAGAAACATCAACGATGAGAATCATTGATCGGCTGCCTCCTGCATGCCCCCCACTGGGGAGTGAGCCCGAAACCCAGGCATATGCCCTGACTGGGAATTGAACTGTGACCTCCTGGTTCATAGGTCGATGCTCAATCACTCAGCCACTCTGGCTGGACATAAAATATAATTTTTAAAAAATTTAGGAAGGGACCCACAGACAAAAGTGCCAGAGCACACAGAAGTCATAATGCAGCCCTGGCAGATACACGAAGTTCAGAGGCAAGGCATGGCTGCCCCGGAACGTGAAGGACCACTTATCTGATAAAGTCAGCCGAGG